ATATGTGACGCACTGGGAATATAATTACAAAAACACAAGGCACATATTTCAGAAGCTGGACATAACACATAGAAGGAAGTGGAGGCCAAAGAAAGGTACATTGGTTTGTGAAGTCACAGGATTGGTGACTAAAATCACAGGGGAGTCAGCTGGTATTCCTTTTAAAAAGCAAATTGCACTATAAATATGACTACTATTTCTAGAGCAAGCAGTAAAACACGGAGGTGAAAAGGAGAAAGGAGATTGACATAACCATAACCTGTGGCTGGATGCGACATAAAGTATGGCCGAGGATCTGGTTGGGTCAGACATAGCAGGTCAAGTGAGTTTATATAGAACAACAGGGGACTAGGGTAGAAGTGATGTTAGACATTGTCTATTGTAACCTCTCATTTTACAAATGAGCAAACAAAGGCCCAGAGAAAGGAAATTACTTGTCCAGGGTTTCTTTAATCACCAATCAGTCAACAAGCAATGAAGTGCTTATATTGTGTCAGGTACCAGAAATAAAATGACCAAAAAAAAAATAAGCCATTCTTAATTTCAAAGAGTTTACATTTTATTTGAGGAGAAAATATGTAAATATATAAGTACATGTATAAAAAGAATAAAAACTAACACACGGTAGTTTGAGAAGGAAGATACAACAGTTCAGGGCAGGGGGAAAGGTCGATGAGGAAAGGCTTCTCCTAGAAGATGGTGTTTGAGCAGCTCTCTTAAAGGACATGAGGGATTCTATAAGATTGAGGTCAGGAGGGAGTGAATTCCAGACACGAAAAGAATTGAGACAGAAGATAAAGTGCTGAGTGAGTAGCAAAGAGGTTTGTTTGGTGAACTGTGGGATTTAGGAAGGGGAATAATGCAGAATCAGTCTGTAAAAATAATTTGGGGACAGGTTGAGAAGATTTTTAATAGCCAGAGCTTATATTTTGATGCTGGAAGCAATAGGGAAGAAGCCACTTGAGTTTGTTCAGCAGGAGACTTTACTATACTTGGGTAATATACAATACTGTACTAAGGAAGATCACTGTGGCAGCTATGTGAATGATGGGTCAGAATGGGGAAAGACCAATTAGGAAGCCTCTCAAATAGTCCAGGTAAGAGGTGATAAGAAACTGAGTTAATGTGGTACCAAGGGCTAATGAACAGAAATAAAAGAGCCAGATATGAAAGATATTATGAAGGTAAAAATAGCAAGATTTAGCAATTGTTTGGATATTGAGGGGTGGTGAGGAAGAGTGAGGTACTGTGGCTAATGTTGAGGATACAATCTTAGGAGGCTAGAAGGAGGATGGTGTCCTGGACAGAAATAGGGAATTCTAGTAGAGGGCAGTGCTTTAGGGAAAGGTAGTAAGTTCTGGGCCTGAAAAGTATGAGATGCATCTAGCATTCACTTTGAAATGTATAATCATCAAATGCTGATTAATAATAATCAGTCTGTGGACAGACTAGGGCTAAACACAGACATCATAGAGATAATAATTACAGCCATAAGTGAAGAAACTGAAAAAGCATAGTCAGACAGAAGAATTGACTTCATAAAAATGTAGAAAGGAGAAACTATCCAGGAGAGGGTAGTCAACACTGTCAAATAAAGCGAAGAGGTCAAGAAAGATGAGAATAGAAAAAAGACCATCTGCTTTTGCAATTAATAGATCCCAGATAACTTTAGAGAGAACAGTTTCAGTTGAATGATGAAGCTGAAAACCAGATTGCAAAATGTTGAGGAATAAGGAAGAGGACATGAAGTAGATGCAATAATTGTATACTAAATTGAGAATCTTGGTTGAGAAAGAGAGGAGAGGGTGATAGCTAGCTCGAGGAGAGTGTACTAAGTGGCAGATCCAGCATTTTGTTCTAAGAATATCCTTGTCTACTCATACCATTTGACAGAAGGGAGATAGTGAAAAGAACATCTGCTCTAGAGTCAGAAGACCTGGGTTCAAGTCTTTCCTTTCATACATGCAAACAATCTGTCGACCTTGGGCAGTCACCACCTTCTTGAGATGAAGCCTCCTTATCTATAAAATGATGGGATTCAACTACTTTAGTAGCTGAAGCCAACTCAACTCTGTATCTACAAGTCTGTAATTCTGTGAATTTTCCAGTTGCTTTCAGTGAATGTAGTAGCCCTAATGATCTGGGTTAAGGTTTATCGGGGTTTTATATGTATGTGAAATTCCTATTATTGACTTCTTTGTTGTTGTCATTCTGAATTTATAATACTATGAAAACAAAAAGTCAGTCCCTCCAATAATAAGAACAGGAGTCAGGAGACTTTGTGAGGTAATGTTGCCTACTGGAAAGAATGCTGAGTTTGGGTCAGAGAACCCAGATTTAAAATGTCTCTGCTTAAAGCCATTTAAAATGGCTTACTGCCCTTGTGGTCTTGGGTAAATCATTTAACCTTCTTGGGCCTTGGTTCCCTTATGTGTTAAATGAGAGTGTTTGGCCTATATAGACTTTGAGGTCCCTTCCAACTCTAGATGCAAGCTCCCTTGAATTTTCTTTTTCAGTTACCTACTTGGTATGTTTTGCAGTGGTTGGTTTTTGTTTTGTTTTGGGGTGTGTGTGTGTGTGTGTGTGTGTGTGTGTGTGTGAGTGAGAGAGAGAGAGAGAGAGAGTAAGTAGCCTTATGTTCAGAATTAAAATTCCTAGAGTTTGTGTGTGTACATGATATTCCTATTATTTTCTTTGTCCTCCTTTCCCTGTCTTATCACCCCCTCCAAAAAACCCATGAATTGTAAAGTTTGAAAAATATCAATTAACACACATAATAGAATATAGGTTTTTTAATCTATGCTTCCCTCATTCTACTTAGACCAAACTGAGAGAAAAGTTAAATCTGAGTCAGCTTTGATTTTCCTGGTAAGGAGAACTATAGGATAATCATCACCCAGAGTAAAATGCTATGGAAATATGAGAAGTCCAGAGTGTGACTATAACACAATATTGGTGAGATTAGCATCTTAACTAATTTTTATTCAACATTGTAAAATGCCTTACATATTGAGATTCATATCTAAATCATGAAAATCTCTCTTTTTTAAACTAAATCCAGAAAGAAAAATCAAAAGGGAGGCTACTTATGTGCCTGACCAGACCCATCATTTTTTGGTCAATTAGGTTTGTTGTTATTGAGCTGAAAAGGCTGAGAAGCAATTGATTGGGTGGCTCCAAAAATTGATCATATTCAGCTTAAGACAGGTGAAATAACTGGACTGTGGCTGGATGGTGATCTAATTGACTGTTTGCTGATCAGCTATTATTTTGGTCAGAGAAGCCTAATCGACCAGAGAACAGTCCATTTGGTGGCATATGTAGCTACGACTCTGGTCTCTGTTGGTTTTACAGAGCAAAAGCCATCATGAATTAAATTCAAAGCAAAACCCCCAATTTCAGTTAAAAGAAAACATAACATTATGATTAGCCAATGCTTATCCATTTTAGTGATGGAAACTACCAACTCATTTAAAGAATATCCATTGCTCAACCAGCTTTTTCTAAGCCTCAATAATTTATCTTTAACCATTCTTTAAAGGACACACAGTATATATAATAATACATATCTTTATGGCTTAATACTGCTTCCCAATGTGCAAGCCACAATTCTATCATCCTGACTATTGGAGATTAAGCTTTCATAATTTTAAAATGTGCCCACTTTGTGTTTTGTAAAATGCATCAGCTTCCTCTAAGTAATTTTTATGGCCTATTAATTACCTCCTATTACCAGAAAAAATGGAAAGGTTATCATTAAGAAAAAAGGTAATAACAATGAGCAGATTAATCAAAAATAACTCTTGGATTTTAATTTGGGAGAAAACACAAAATGACCCTCCTCTGTAAGTGGAAACCATCAGCTAAGAATCAGTGACTGTTAGGTGAATGAACAATTCCTCCTAGAGAAGACACTAAGGACTAGATTTCCTGGGCTAAGTAGCCAAGCGGTTGAGTGGATAAAGTGTTGGTCTTGGAGTCAGTAAAACACAAGTTCCATCCTGCATCAGACACTTATTAGTTATGTAACCCTAGGAAAATACCTTACAGTCTCAGTGCCTACAACTGTAAAATGGGCATAATAATATCACCTACCTCCTAGGGTATTTTGTTGTGAAGATCAAATGAATTAACATATGTAACAAGCTTTGCAAACAATAAAGTATGATATAAATGTAGCTATTATTATTATGGATTAAAATCCATTTTCATTTTGTTTTTACTTCCTTCTATAACATCCCCTAACTAGTCCTCTAAATTTAAAGGAGCAAGACAGTGGACAGAAGGGCAGATTTTGAAGTCAAGAACCTGATTTCAAGTGTTGCCTTTGACCTTATCTCACTGGAAAATCACTGGCAGCGATTATACCTCAGTACTCCCTCTCAGTACACCAGGTAACTCTGACTACAAGATTTTGATGATCTGCTCATCTGTCTCAGCAGACGGAGTTTCCATAGTGAAAGCACACTATACTTATAGATCTAATTTTCCATTATGCTATTGGACCAGTGCTAATATTGAGCTAGCTACAAATATGCTATATAGTTATATACATCTTTGGGATCACTGAATGTCAGAATTAGAAGAAATTCTAAGAGATTAATCAACAATATATGAGGCAGCTGGGTGTTGTAGTGGCTAGAACACAGGGCCTGGAGTCAGGAAGATCTGAGTTCAGATCTGGCCTCAAGAACTGACTAGCTGTTTGATCGGCAGCAAGTCACTTAGTCCCTATTTGCCTCGATTTCTCATCTATAAAATGCGGACATAGTGTTTACATAGCTGAAAGTACTCTATTGATACTAATTTTTTTTTAAAAAATGAATATTTTACATGCAAATATCTGCCTGACCGACTTAAGAAGAAGAAAAAAAGAAGCTAGGATTGAGTGGTCACTAATTTTGGCTTCCGCAGACTATGACAGCTATTTCACTTAATACAGAATTTTGTATACATAAAATAATATTTAGATTTCAAAAGCTTCTATTTTTATAATGCAGGTGCTTTGCAAGTCTCCTCAGACAGTTTTGCTGACCAAGAAATGATGAGCATGGACACAAGTCCCATTAGTCAAGTAATAGAATTAAAAACTCTTAAGATCAACCTTCAGGATCTCATGTAAGTTTCCAAAGATTCTCTAAGCAGCAAGCCAGAATGAATTATGCAGCAACCTGGGTGACATCATGACGATCCAAGCTCAAAGCAGAAAGCAAAAACTTTCCACCACCAACAAAAGCTGGGCCTCACCAGTGCTCCTTCTCGCCCCAGCCACACCCAGACTGCAACCCATATCGAAGCACGGGAAAAGCAAGATGATCCTGCCTCAATGCCTGCAAAGAGATCCCTGAAATACCCCTCTGTTCAGCCACTTTTCCCCCCCACCATATGTGTGGGGCAAGAGCTCTGGAAGCAGCTACTGCCACAGCTGCCTCCCTAGGCTGGAACTGGACCACGCTTTCTCATCTAGGTCAGATAGACCTTTCCTACTGACCTTCTAAGTTGTCTTTAGTGTTTGTTGTTTGAGAAATCTGGAAACTACCACAGCTGCCTGTGATGCAGGTCCCTGAGGCCTGCTCCAAGATTGCTGGGGGCTCTGTCTTTGCCTGTGCTGCCAATGCTGAACTGTACTCCTCTTCCAAGCTGGTGCAACAGACCTTTCCCCATCAACCATACAGGTTGTGTTGGGCTGGAAATTTGTTTCACTCTGTCTTTTTGTGGGTTCTGTTGCTCTAGAATTTGTTTATAGGCATTTTTACAAGTATTTCCCCCATTACAGGGGTTTGGGGGAAAGCTCAAGCAAGTTACTGCTTTTACTCCATCATTTTTTGGATCAAGCATTTATTAAGCTCTTATTATGTGCCAGGCACTGGGATAAGCACTTTACAAATATTATCTCATTTGATTCTCACAACAACCTGGGGAGGGAGGTCCTATAACTATCTCCATTTTACAGTTGAGGAAACTGAGGGATACACTGGTTAAATGACTTACCCAGGGTCACACAGCTAGTAAGGCTGACTTTGAACTCAGGTGTCCCTGAATCCAGGGCCCAGATCTCTATCTCTTATACCACCTTGTTGCTTCTAGGGATGTAGACTTGCAACAATAGAATTTCTCTTATTGGGAGTGACTTATGCCAATAAAATCATAGTCTAGACCAAATTTGAAATCTATATTTTAAAACATTTCAAATGTATAATGTATTTTATAATTAAAACCAAAATGTTATTTTATATACATATGTATGTGTGCATTCATTTATTTGCTTGCTAGCCTTCACTCAGAGACTCCTGATTTTAAAGGAATATATCTATATCTATATCTATCTATTGATACATAGATATATAGATAGAGATATATGTATTCTCTACAGTTGGGCTACCTTTGGGCTTTCTGGAACCTTAGGTACTTTCTATGTGTCAGCCGTGTACCATAAACATACTGACAATCAGATAGTCCACTCAAACAACAACACAAGGAAAGGAATGTCTCCAAGGCTGGATTTATTCTGGGCTACTGATTCACTGAGTCCTCTGATGATTGCAGTTATTTGGTTATTCTGCCTAAACAATCAGAGTGAATTATTCAAAAGTACAATTACACAAATATTTTTTAATTACTTTGGTCCATAAATAATCTGTCCTCTAAACTTTTGTACTGACCCAACTGCAATTTCCAAGGCAACCTCTTTTATAGACAGTAACCAATGATACCAAGAAATCTCTTTATGGCCAAATATAATGACCTGCTCCTAATTCTGATTTCTCTGAAGTTCAATTACCTTCTCTCTAAATTTTCTTGACATTGATCTCTCCTGGTTCTTCTCCTATGTCTGGTCTGTCTGACATAATCTCTTATGCTGGTTTTTTATTCAAATCATGATCACTAAACATAGGTGTGCCGCGAGGCTCTGTTCTGGCTCTTCCTCTCTAGTCAACTTTTACTTATTCACTTAGTGATCCATTCAGTTTTTGTAGGTTTGAATTATCATCTCTATGCAGGTGAAAACCGGATCTACACATTTAGTCCAAGTCTCTCTAGAATCACACATTTCTAATTGCCTCTTGAATATCTCAAACAAGATGTATCTCAGACTTAACTCATCTAAAACAGAACTTACTCTCTTTTCTCTCCCTTCAGTCTCTTCCAAAATTTCCTATTACCAACATCCTCCCAGTCACCCAGGCTCATCACATCTGTGTAATTCTCGACTGCTTACTCTCACTCACCCCATACATCCAATCAATTGCCAAATCTTGCCTTTTCTACCTTTACATCTCTTGTTTACATCTTTTTTCCCACTCATATAGTCACAAATATAGTATAAGCTCTGATCACTTCTCTCCTGCATTGTTGCAACAGCTTTCTAATTAGTCTTCCTGCCTCAAGTCTCTCCCTGCCCCCAATTCCAATTCATTCTATATTCAGCTGCTGATGTGATTTTCCTAAAGTGTATGACTGACCATGCTACTCACTTCTCAATGAGCTCCCATGACTTTCTTTTACCTCTAGGATCAATAATAATGATAACATTTATGTAACACTGTGTCCCTGGCATTTTACTAAGCACTTCATAGTTGTTATCTCATTTGATGCTCACAACAACCCTGTGAGCTAGATGCTATTATCTCCATTTTACATATGAGAAAACTGAGGCAAGCAGAGGCTAAGCTACTTGCTTAGTAACTAAGAAATGTCTTAGGTCAGATTTGTACTCTGGTCTTCCAGAATCTAGGCCTGGTACTTTATCCATTGAACCACCTAGTTACCCCTAAAACAAAGTCTGTTTATCCTTTAAATTTTTTTATAGACTGGCTCTTTCACATCTTTCCAGTCTTCTTCAATGTACGTGCCATCCAACTATATGTCTACTTGCAGTTCCTCCAAAACATCATTTCATATCTCATCTCAGTAGGTTTTCATTGGATGTCCCCCATGTTTGGAATGCTCACCCTCCTCACCTCCGCCTGTTAGTTACCTGTCTTCCTTCAAAACCTAGCTCAAATCTCACTTTCTATAAGAATCCTTTTTCTCCTCTCCCCAGCAGCTAATGCCTTCCCCTTTTAGATTACCTTAATTGATTTTGTATATATCTTTAACTAGTTATTTATATCTTGTCACCATTAATATAACATAAGATCTTTCAAGGCAGAGATTGTTTTTTCCCTTTATTTGCATTACCAGAGCTTAGCACAATGCCTGAATCACTAACATGTTTCTCTCATTAAATCTTATTCTGCAACAACTTATTAGCCAGTGTGCAATGATGAGAAAATGAAGAAATGAATATATGGTCTCTGATCTCATGGTGTTTAAAGTCTAGTGGTTGGTAAGTCCTTAAGTAATAATCATTTTTTTGCTCTTTATAACTTTAATTATAGGGGCCATTTTATACATAGTAAAAGCAGAGAGTTGTCTATGTGGTATAATAAGGGGGACATCAAAAAAGTTCTGCCCCCCAAATATCTTGTTATTTATACTATTCGAGATTTGGTTTAATAAACTCCTCTTTGAGAATATTCTCTTCCTAACGGCTTGCTAAGATCAAAGGTAGGGAGGGAGAAAGGGTAAGATTAAAACATGGTGTTGATTTATAAACCTGTAATCCCTGCTACTAAGGATGCTGAGGCTGGCTGATCGCTTGAGCTCAGAAGTTATGAGCAGTAATAAGGTTAAAAGTCCATAAGGTAAGACCTAAGTCTGACACCAATATGGTGAGTTCCTGGGATGGTGAATACCAGGCTGCCTCAGGAAGAAAGAACTGTCCTGGGCTACTCAAATCATCCATGTCTATCAGTGTGATGTGCCTGTGTGACCATTGTACTTCCAGTGAGAGATGGAAAGACCTAGTGCCCCATCCCAAAAAAACAAGTAAAACCATGGTGTAATGCCCTAGAAGACAAAGGACAGATCACAGTATTGCCTTCAGGTACATTGAGAAGGAAACAACAACATACAACTTATCATTGAATACCTGTTGTCAGAATAAAAGAAGAAATAGGAGATGGGATAGGTTTCAGAAATGGAACTGGGGAAATTGTGTTACCAAATTTGCCTCTTTAGGAATCACACTATTTCAGAGCTTGATGGTACATCTTTGTAATCCCTCAGAATTATGCCTTCATTGTGCAGTATAGACATGGAGTCCCATAATGGTTGAGTGATTTCCCAAAAATTTATTAGATAGTGACAGAGTTGATAAAAGACTTGCCCTAGCTTTCAGCCCATTGTCCCAAAATTTCACAATGTTGCCTTATCATGCAGCATCTTCCTTCTAAAAGCTCTACACTTCCTCTAACAATTTTCAGTTTTATAAAAACAAACAAGACTATCCTGTCTATTACTGAAATGTTTACTTTGCTAATCCCTAATTTTAATTAGTGCTTTTCCTGATTTATTTTGGATATAAAGCAGGTGGTCTCTGCTTGTTTTCATAGTTAAAGTTGGATTTGTAAGATCAGCTGAAAGGATACTGGCACCATCATGAAGTCATAGCTAATCAGAATTGGACAGGACCTCAGAGTTCACCTAGTCCAACCTTATTTTAGTCCAATCTTATTTTACAGGTGAAAGGAAAGCTATAAAGAATTATCCAAGATCTCAGAGGCAACAAGTGGTAAAGTCAAAATTGCAGGCCAGATTTCTCAAAAAGCCACATGGTACAATAGAAAAAAACACAAGCTCTAGAGCAGGCCTGCGCAATACATGGTCCGTGTGCTACTTGCCACCAACCAAAGGATTTTGGGCAGCCACGAAAAATGTACGGTTGCTATGGCATCCTCTCTCTTGTTTGTCATGTGGCATGTAGTAACCAACCATTGTCAGTTTATCTCTAGTCTAACCTATCTGTAGCCTGAAGAATTTAGGCTATTTTAATTTTGTCCCCTACCTACTGCCTAGTTGTGCAGGTCTGGTCTAGAGTCTGCGGGCTGGATTCAAATCCTTCAAATACTTCTACCTATGTAACGTTGGGCAATTCACATAACCAACTTGTGCCTCAGCTTTCTCATCTGCAAATTAAGGGGACTGGATCAAATAGTTTGTTCTAACTCTATATTTACTATTCCTTAAATTTCCTCTCTGTACTCTTTCCACTGCACTATATCACTGATTACAACATAGCTTGTTATGTCAGGCACACTCTAGGTTAGATTTTTTGTAAAAGTCAGGACCTCGCCAGTTAGAGATTTATAATATCACACTGTGCTCATGTTGTATGCCTCGGATCTACAGTGATACATGTTTCATTTGTCTCCATCACTGCAATAGAGTGTATATCAACTTAAAACAAACTAAATAAATATCAGCTTAAAATAAACAAATATATATCAATTAAACACAATCATATAATGATAATAAATAAATATACATGTATAATAAATAATATATAATCAGCTTAAACAAACATGAATAGATATGAACTTCAAATAAATATATATTAACTTAAAATTTGCTGCTGATAGTTTTCATTAACACAGAATAATCATAGTGTTTTTCTGATATAGATATAGAAAAGTTAAAGATTTAAAAAAACCAAAAGATCAGAAAAAAAGAATTGTCTTTATTCAAAAAATTTCACAGTATTATTATTTTTAATTGAAAAAAATCAAAAGCCACCTACATGTCCACAAATAGGAAAATGGTTGAATAAATTGTGAGAATTTAATTTAATAGAATGCT